TTACATGATCAGCAGTAACAGAATGAAAGAACAAGATTAGGACTAACTTCCACTGTTATTTAAATACTGAACATTTCAATGTATAAATATTAAAACAAACAGAATTCTGATAAACTAATCATTGATTTGATGAATAGAAAATACAATTTATGAACAAAAAGTAATACTGATTTGATTTAAGAATTGAATGATTTGAATTTAAGGGAAAACTAAGCTGTGAAACTTTTGGATCTGGGATTGTTGGAGACAACTCAGTCGTTTAAATAATAGTGTCAATCAAATTGCTTGATTCTGCACGATTTCGTTTTTACAATGGTCTGTTTTTCTCAAGCAGGGACAATTGCACTGAGTTCCCAAAATAAGAATTCGATGCACAAAATTATATACCAAACTTAAGACACAATACAAGCACTCAAGAAACATGAAACTATACCATACTCGGAATTGACGAGGGTGGCAGCGGATTTGAGTGGAAGAGAAGTGTATTCTGGAGACTGTAAACCTGTGTTTTAATTTAACGTGCAAAGTATATTGAAATTGGGCTACCTGGGCGGTGGGCTGAGTTATTGGGTTAAGGTTTACTTAATGTTAATTGGGCCAGAATTTTGGGAAGCTCAATTGTCAAAATTGTCCAATTAATTTTGAGAAAGAATAATAGAAGGCCCAATTGTCCAATTAAATTTTTTGTTTAACGGGTAATTAGTTCGGGGTGGGATACCATCGTTAAATACCATACCCGCCCCTAAATGAAGCGGTTCATTAAAATCAAAACCATAACTGCTCATTGCACCATCAATTCGATTTTTTTCATCCTATTCAGTTCGATTAATCACGGTTTTCGATTTTATCAGTTCGAATTGTCATCTCTAAGCCACTCTCCTCTGTCTCTGTATGCACGTGTGTCCTCCTTTTCTATCCAAATCCCAATGGTTAATCTGCCGCCTCCCTCCCTTTTCTTTTTTTTTTTTTCTAAATCAACAGGAGGATTCCAATTCCTTTTTTAATTCCATTCCTCATCCATTTGGTCTAGACCCAATTTGATTTTTTTTTTTAAATTCTTATTAAAATAATGGATAACTTACAAAATTATCTTTAAACTTAGAAATCTTTTAAAAAATCATATAAAAAGTACTTTTAAAGTAAAGATATTATGTAAAATTAAATGTCACATTTTCTATTAAAAAGTCTATTTAAAAAAAAGTGACATAATATCATGTTTTAAATTTAAGTATCAATTTTTATTAAAATATTAAAGAATATTAACACAAGTTAAGTAGAAATAATAATATGACGACATGAAAATTTAGTAATATAATTCGAATAAATGCACAAAATGCACTTATCACAATGTAAAATCTAATAACATGTAGGTCACCCTTCAAAGACTATTGATACCTCTTGGTGTCCAAACTCAAGTCTCAAACTTGAGCAATATAAAGTGATTTCTATTCTACTAGTTTTCATATGTAGGATTTGCATTTTCTAATTTCTTACCAATTTGTATTCTCAATTTCAACTTCAAGTTATTATCTTTTGACCTTAATTTCTCATTCACCCTAAATTAATTTTGAGAAAATAAATAAATTACATTAATCTACTTGTAGAGTGGAATACACTAGGCCAAATAGATCTTTTGTCCAACTAACGGGACCCACTTAAATAATTGGTCAAACCAACGAACTAAACCATTTTTTTCCCAACAGTATATATTACTTCAAACAACTTAGCATACTCTCAAAGCCAAAACCTTAGGGCCCGTTCTCTTTGTCGTTTTCAAACCGTTTTCTATTTTCGATTTTTCAAAATAGTAAAAACGCGTTCTCTTTCCTATTTTTGAAAATGCGTTTTTGAAAATGGAAATTTTTTTTCAAAGGAAACGAAAAACGAGCAAAATTCGGTTTTGGATGTTTTGAGGCCAAAACACAGTTAATTCAGGAAACACGCCAAACAGCCTTCTCTCTCCCCCGGGTTGGGCGTTTTCCATTTCTTCTGAGTTCTCGTCTATCCCTCTCCCGTCTCCCTTTTCCCGTAACCTAGGGCAAAAACCCATCTGCATCTGCCGTAAACTTCTCTCTCTCCGTCTCCCGTCTCCAGTCGCCCGTAACCTAGGGCTCTTCCATTTCCATCTCACGAACCCACAATCTGAAGCGTGTGTCCAGTCGTTTTCCATTTCCGATCTCAGGTAACTACAATCCATTTATGAATATTAAATTTGTGCTTGTGAGAAATGGGAATCCTGATACGTTGTGATAGAACTGGTGAGCTTGTGATGTGATGGGGTTGTGAGAAATGGATATTAAAACTGTAATTAAAATCTAGCGCCCGTAAGATTTGTGCTTGTGATGGGTTTGTGAGAAATGGATCCTGGAAAAATGGTGATTTTGAGTTGACTACTAAGGTTTGTGAATTGGAAATCCTGATACGTTGTGATAATTTTACAAGAACAGAGTTCTTATGCATGTGGGAGTAGATTATTAACGAATTTTGAGGGGTTTTGGAATGGGAAAAGGCATTGAG